CCTGAGACTGAGGAGTGGGCTTGGCCTGGGCTGGGGGCAGGGCTGGTGCAAAGTGTAGGGTCTGATAGAACCAGAGCCTACGTGTCTTCTTCAGCCAAAGCCTTCATGCTTAGACAATAACTCTCCATCCCCAAGAGGCTGACTTGCTTGTGGTTAAGAACTTGGGGTTTTAGATCCAGAGCCTAGCCCTACTACTTGTTAGCTGTGGGATCTTGAGCAAACAACCCCTCTAACTTCAGTGTCCTTATCTGCAAGGATATGCTAAGGATACAACCTACTGGTTGTGAGAATTGAGCAGAAACATTCCGTGTGAAGTGTCCCGCACAACAGGAAGTGCTCCATAAGCACCAGTCAGCATTCAACTTCCCCCTGTGCCACGTGGCGGGCTGTGGGGTGTGCAGTTCTAGCTCCTGTCATCCTCTGGGCAGAGAGTCAGGCTTCCCTCGGTCATGTTGCTTATTCCACTTTGCAGGGCCAAGGTCAGGAGAGAGAGAAGGTCTAGGTGAAAAATGCTTGGGCTCTCCACGGGACACAGAGCCACTAGGTGCCCCTTGCAAATTGAGTTCAGAAGGTCCTGGCTCCAAGAGTTATAAATAAAAACGAGCTCATTGATTTGCACACCCAGCTGGGAACAACCTCGAGCTTCCTGTTCGAAGGTTCGTGGTGTCCGTGGAACACGGGCAGCTTGGGATGAGGCATGTCAGTCCAGCCCCAGGAACACTCATGTTATACTGTCCTGCCCCTACTTACCCTGTCCTCCCTGCCAGGAGCACCCTTCTCACCACCCTACACCCGATCTACCTGCTGAAACCTACCCATCCTTCTGCTTGGCCTGTTCTTCCTATTGCATCTCTTTCTTTTCCTCTCCTGCCTTCTTTGGCTTTACAGCAGGCTCCCTCCCCACCCCACTGGGTTCCACTGTATTGCTCTGCTGGTTTAGCATGCACATTTAATTTAACAAGTTCAAACGCTAGTGAATATTTTGCCCTCCCACCAAATAATAGACCTTTCTCACTCTAATTGCTCTTTACCAATTCATTTGTTATCATGTTCTGGTTTTTTAGTTTTATCTCCTTTATTTTCTAACCTTACAAATGAAACATTTTTGTAATTGTTTTATGCAATCAATGCTTATTTAGCCGGGTGATGTGGTTTGCACCTGTAATACCAGCTACTCAAGAGGTCAAGGCAGGAGGATAGCTTGAGGCCAAGAGCTTGAGACCAGCCTGGGTAATATATCAAGACCCTGTCTCTAAAACAATAAAAAATAAAAAATAGCTGGGTGCAGTGGCTTATGCCTGTAGTCCCAACTACTCGGGAGGCTGAAGAGGGAGGATCGCTTGAGCCCAAGAGTTTGAGGCTGCAGTGAGCTATGATTGTGCTACTGCACTCTAGCCTGGGTGACACAACAAGACTCCTTCCAAAATATAAAAAAAATTTTAAAAATGCTTATTTGAACTACTTCTGTGTTCATGTATTTCTTTGCTCATCATTCCTACTTGAATCTTAGACTTTCTTTCTGGGATTATTTTCCTTAAAGAATATCCTCTAGAATCCCCTTAGGTGAGGGTCTGTCAGTCATAAATGTTGTCAATTTTTACCTGAAAATGTATCTTTTCAACCCCATTCTTGGAAAATATTCAAGGTCGATGGTCACTTTCTCTTAGCACTTTGAGATGTTCTTGCTTCCGTTGTTGATATTGAGAAATTATCGACCACTCTACTTCATAGTTCATCCATCTTCTCTCTAGTAGTCAACCATTTTGCGACTAGAAGTGCAGATTTTTTAAAATTTATTTATCGTGTTTGGGCTGTGGGAGCTTTCAGGATCTGAGGACTATGTCTTTCATAAATCTGGAAATTTTCCATTTCCTTCTGGAACTCTAATTGGACATATTCAAGACCTTGTTCACCCTCTACATCTCTTAACCTCTTTCAAATTTTCCATCCTTTCGTCTCTCTGAGCTCCATTTTGGGCAAGTGCTTTGGATCCATTGTTTGGCTCATGAGTTCTCCCTTTGGCTACGTTAATCTGCCCTTTCATCTGTCCCTTGGATTTCTAGTTTCAAATATTATGTTTTTACATCATTTATACAAGTACTACTTGCTTTTTTTTTTTTTTTAATCTTCCTGGTCATTTTTAACAGTCTCTTGTTCTTATCTATACTATCAGGGGCCAACTTTTACTTCTTTAAGCATATGAAACATCCTCATATTATATATACCACAATTCCAATATCCAAAGTTTTTGAAGGTGTGATTCTTTTGTTTACTGCTTTGTGCCATTCTCACTGAAAGTGCCTTGTGTCCTGTGCTTTATGATTTTTCTGGAAGTTCCTTGGAACTTTTTCTGTGGGAAGTCTTTAGGGACTGAGGGTATTTTTGCCATTGGTTTCTGCCAGGTGCCTGGGGAACTATAGTCTACTTTAAATTCTTACGTTGTCTTTGTTTGGTTGGTTCCTGTTGTGTTGTTGTTTTTTGCCACACAAGTTCTGTGTATTCCACTTCCAGACTTATCTGTGGCCGACTTGTGGTCAGGGCCATCCAGGCCTGACAGTCCTTTCTCTTCCACTCGGGGCCAAAGCTGAGCCAGGCACGTCCTGTGCCAGCTCCTTCGGGGAGGTTTTCTCCCCAAGTTCACGGCCATGGGTGTTGGTTTAGTGCCCTTTGTTTTAGCTGGGGGCTTCTGATCTTGTTTTCCACGTTGCTCAGCTCCCGGATTTGCGAAGGCTCATCACACTGCAGTTCTCGGCCACCTGGACCCACAGAAGGCTCAGGGCAACTGCTCCCAGCCCTCTCTTGGGATTTGTGCTTCATTGTCATTTGGGGACTCTGGTTATTTCCCTTCCTTTCTTGCCATCTCCGTTGTACGTTCTTTTTCTTTTTCTTTCTTTTTTTTTTTTTTTTGAGAAAGAGTCTCACTTTGTTGCACAGGCTAGAGTGAGTGCCATGGCGTCAGCCTAGCTCACAGCAACCTCAAACTCCTGGGCTCAAGCAATCCTTCTGCCTCAGCCTCCCGAGTAGCTGGGACTACAGGCATGTGCCACCATGCCCGGCTAATTTTATATATATATATATATATATTAGTTGGCCAATTAATTTCTTTCTATTTATAGTAGAGATGGGGTCTTGCTCTTGCTCAGGCTGGTTTCGAACTCCTGACCTCGAGCAATCCGCCCGCCTCGGCCTCCCAGAGTGCTAGGATTACAGGCTTGAGCCACCGCGCCCGGCCTCTTTTTCTTTTTTTTTTTGAGACAGAGTCTCGCTTTGTTGCCCAGGCTAGAGTGAGTGCCGTGGCATCAGCCTAGCTCACAGCAACCTCAAACTCCTGGGCTCAAGCGATCCTCCTGCCTCAGCCTCCTGAGTAGCTGGGACTACAGGCATGCGCCACCATGCCCGGCTAATTTTTTCTATACATATTAGTTGGCCAATTAATTTCTTTCTATTTATAGTAGAGACAGGGTCTGGCTCTTGCTCAGGCTGGTTTCGAACTCCTGACCTCAAGCAATCCACCCGCCTTGACCTCCCAGAGTGCTAGGATTATAGGCGTGAGCCACCGCACCTGGCCTCCGTTGTACGTTTTTAAAGATGACTTAAAATATTTTTTTGGTGTTTTGTGATGGGGGACTTCCTCCCCCGCCCCCAACCGGCCGTCTCCCACGTGGCCAGGAATGGCAGTCCAGCCCTCCTTCCCTGGCTCATTGCAGAGACGTGTTTCTCTCAGCACCAGCAGGCCTCACGTTGTGTTCGTCTCACCCTGGCCTGTGGTTTGGTCACTCGCGTTTGCGAACTGCGCGCTCCTTGAGGGCAGGGATGCGGTCTGCCCCGTCACCTTCCACCCAGCGCGCCCCAGAGGCCCATGCACCACGCACCGCTGTCTCTGCAGCTGAGCCGAGCCCGAGGCCCCGTGCGCCGGCCTGTGCCGCCGGGGAGTGGCCACCAGGGGGCGGCCGCAGCCGGGGCCGGGGCCGGGAGGGGCAAGGCAGGGTGGGGTCTCACTGCCTGCGGGACCGGCCTGGCTCCCTGTGGCCCCCAAACCTGCCGCACCAAGCGCTTCCCCAGGATGGGACCCAGCGGAGGCGGAGTCCCTCCGAGTCCCGGGTGGGGAAAGGACAGGCTGCAATGCAGGGAATGGAGGGCCAGGAGGGGGCACCTGAGATGGAATCACACCGGGCAGGGCCAGCATTTGGAACCAGTCCCCTTCTGGGCTCAACCACTTCTGGGGTTCTGCGGGGACCACCATGCTGTCTGTTCCTGTGTCCACTCAACTGACATTTATTCAGCACGTTCTGTCTGCGCCACAGGGAGCACAGCGGAGAACTAAACACACCTGGTGGCCCCGGCCCTGAGGCCTCCTGCCCCCGCTGCTGGATGGAATCCTGTTCATCCTCAGGGGCCCCTGTCAGGGAACGCCTTGCCTGGCCCGGGGCGGAGAGCTGGCCCTTCTGTGCCGCCTCGGGGGGCCTGGCTGCCGTCTGTGTAGAGGGACGTGTGGAATGGCCACCTTTCACACCCTTGCCATTTATGAAACTCGAAGTGGGGGCTTGGGCTCCTGTCTCTCAAAAGTGCACCAAGACCATGCCCTGCTCCTTCCCATTGCTCCCAAGGTCAAGGGAAGCCTTGGGATTTAGTCCCATGAGCCGGATTCCATGGACTGGGACAGACAAATGGGTTAGTCACCAACTCTTCCAACACGTATGGATGGAGCATCTACTACATAGCAGTTCTCCCTTTTGGCCCCAGAAACGGGGCACGGCCCCTGTCCTTCCCTTCTCCTTAGAAGACCTTCAGGGAAGTGCGTGTGCATGGGTGCGTGTGCGCGTCTGGCTCCTTGACTTTTGGGGTTCAGCCAGGCTCGGGAGGCTCCAGCAGAGGCAGCTGGGCTCTCCCCACCAGCCCCTGCAACACCAGCCCAGCTTCCTGGAGACCAAAACCACAAGCAGAACAGGGAGGCGTGAGAGACGCTCGCAGGCTGGGTTTGGTCGCATGCGTGTAAGAGAGCGGCGGAGAGAAAGGCTCGAGCAGGAACAGCAAAGGGCAGAGCAGGCGGGCAAGAGGGGCACACGGTGGCCGTGTCACCGCCCGGCCCCAGGATGGTGCTTCCCGCTGGCGGGCACGCGTAGCAGTCGGAGATGGCCCCAGACATGTGGCTCTTCCTTGTGACCGCTGGATCGCTGACGGCAGCCCTGACAGGTAGCCCCCTTCCCTCCCCTCCTGTGCTGGGGGCCCGGGTCCTGCCCTCCTGGTTCCCTTTCTGGTGATTTTCTCGTGGTCACCTTTCTGGAGACTATGAGCCAAGACTATACTCGGGTCCCAGGGAGCCTCCAGCTGTGCCAATGGCATCTGGGGCACAGGAGGCCCCTGAGGGGCCAGGGCTGTGCCTGGACAATGCTCCAGTCCTGAGAGGCCCGAGAGTGAGATAACTCAGGCAGATGCTTCGAGTCTTTCCAGCGGGTCCCCAGGGTCTGAGGAGAGAGGCTCGCCTTCCACCCCTCGGCTCAGCAACTTCTCTTCCTATTTCTTGCCAACCCCCAGGAAGGAGCTGTGCACCTTCCAGAGAGGCAGGGCTACTGACGATTGCATTTCCAATGCCAAACCTGAAGCTCGGGGCCCACGGGGCTCGTGTTGCTCACAGGAGAGCAGGCCCAGAGACAGAACTCGGGGAAGCCCAGGGGAGTTCCGGACAGCCAGGCGCTGGTGGCTTTGGCCCAACAAGTTGGTGTAGTGTAGGGCAGGAATGAGCAGCATAAGGGCCACCTCCTCCCATCCTGAGCTGCCCCCAGGTGCCAAGAAGACATCCTCGCCACCTGGGCCAGGGTATCAGGTGGCCAGAAAGCTCGGGACGCTGGGCTGTGCACCCCAGATACTTGCTGGCCCTGCTGAGCGTGGGGTCCAAGCTGGCCGGAGCTGGGCAGAGGTCCTGCCCTGTTGGGCTCCCACATTTTCGGGGTGGGGAAACTGGTGTGGAAACTGCAGCGGGAGCCAAGTGCTTTCGGTCTGAGCCAAAGGAGACCGTGGAAAACACAGTCCAGGGGCATCAGGCTGGCTCAGAGGACAGGGTGTATGTGGGGAGCCTTGAGGGGCACATTCTCTCTGTCCTCATCTGTGGGCACGTGTTCCATGTCCCCTAGCCTTGCAGATTCAGGGAAAGCCAGCTGGCTCAGGGAGCGGGAATTTGTGCGCCTTATTCCCGGGGCCAATGGGGTGTTGGGGTGGTCAGCTTCCCCACCTCCTCGCTCTGCAAGAGTCTGCAAAGCCCCAGCTCAGGGAGCTCAGCTGCCTTCTTCCCCTGTGCTGAGACAGATCGCCCCAGAGTGGCCTTCCCTTCTGATCTCTAGCTAGGCCGCCCTCTCCAACCTTCCCCGGGAGGCTCAGCCATAGGCTCGGGAGTAAGCCAGGTCCGAAAGGTCTGCGGGGGGCCATGGGCCTCCCCGACCCAGGGCTTCAGACCAGCTCCTCCCGCAGCCTCCCAGCGGGAACGAGGGGCCAGGACTGAGGGCGGCCCCAGCGCTCTTGGTGCCAGAGCCTGGGCAGGCCGGCCCAGCAGCCAGCCAGGGGACCCGGCCTTGAACTGGGCGCTATCTAGTTCTTGTTTTTGAAACTGTGTGGCTATTCTGTTGACTCACTTGTTGTTACTAGTACGAGTTCAGTTTTGAAAGGAAACTTTGCATCAGTATTGTAAATGGAAAACAGTATCATTCGCCATAAACAAAAGGTAAAGGAAAGCGTGAAAGTAAGTGGCAGCAAAACCCAATTTCTATTACGCTCTAGCAAAAGTGAAAAGAAGATAAAGGCCCAGAGCCACCCCTCTGCTAGAGGGAAGCGAGGGAGGTGACACAGACCCCGGGCTCTCCAGCTTATTCTCCTCCTGACTGCAGGACGGGGCGCTGTGAGCAGGGCATCGTGTCCTCACTATGTGATTTGGTGGCATCAAATGCGACCTCTGTGGCCGGGCGGGTGGCTCATGCCTGTAATCCTAGCACTCTGGGAGGCTGAGGCGGGCAGATCGTTTGAGCTCAGGAGTTTGAGACCAGCCTGAGCAAGGGCGAGACCCCGTCTCTACTAAAAAAATAGAAAGAAATTAATTGGCCAACTAATATATATAGAAAAAATTTGGCGGGGCTGGTTGGTACATGCCTGTAGTCCCAGCTACTCGGGAGGCTGAGGCAGGAGGATAGCTTGAGCCCAGGAGTTTGAGGTTGCTGTGAGCTAGGCTGGTGCCACGGCACTCACTCTAGCCTGGGCAACAAGCGAGACTCTGTCTCAAAAAAAAAAGAAAAAAAAAATTCGACCTCTGTGAGCTCTCCTAGGGGTCGCCAGTGGCATCTGTCCTACTGCTGAGACATGCGGCCCGGCGGGAAGGGCCTTCCAGGTAGAGGGAAGACTGCACGCAAAGGAGCCAGGGCCCGATGCTGCCCGGGGCCGATGCTGCCCGGGGCCTGCCTGAGCTTTCCGTGCTCTCCACGCTGGCCGGGCAGCCCCAACCCCGCAGGCCCTTGTCCTCGGAGGGCAAGGGTGACCCCCGTCTGCTTGTGTGTGGGGGGTCTGCGTTGGGCTGGCCATGTTGGGGAAAGGGGCTTAGGGCCTTCAAGAAGAAAAAGAAAAGGAAAGAAAGAAAAATGATGGAAAAGAGGGAGGAAAGGTAGCCGGAGAAGGAGGCCCGTGAGGGAGTCCAGGCCTTCACCCCAAGATCTATGTCTGGGGTGGGGGTGCCTGGCTCTGCCCTGGGGACCACAGGCTGGTGGAGTCTGGCTCTCCTGGGCCCTGGCAGACCTGGCATAGCCTACCGGCGGACACCCCTGCCCAGTCCCAGCGCTATGCTCGGTCCTTCTCTGCCCCGGCGGCCCGGGCTCTGGGCTGGCCTCTGGGCAGGCCTCGGTCTGTGCTGTTGAATGAGGGCTTGGAAGTCTGAGCCCTCCTATGCGCCGCTGGTGCTCCCCAGAGGCATGGGTCCAGGTCCCTGAAATTCTCTGCCTTAGTTTCCTGATCAGCCAACTGGGGATGAAGGGGCAGAGAGAATGAACTAGAAGTCCTCAACCGGGGAGGTTGGGTGGGGTCAGGAGACTCCACGTTCTGCCCCAGCCCTGCCTGAGTTCACTGCGTGGCTGTGCTTCTTTTCTTCTCTGGACCTTGGCTTTTCCATCTGTGGAATGGGGGTGCTTGGGCAGACGCTCTGTAGGGGTTTGTCCAGACCTGACAAGACAATGCAGTGACAAGGAGCTGGGCATTTCCCGCCAGGGCAGTGCCGAGGTCTGTGACTAACCCCGTCTTTGCCGCGGTCGGTGAGGTCCTCAAGGGCTGCTTTTGTGCTGGAAAGGCTCTTTGTGGTAACTTTAAAAATAATATTTCATTTTTTAAATTAACAAATTAAAAAATCTGTTTTTTCCTTAACGTGTGAGTTCAACATACAAATCATATTGTATTTATAAGCCCGGTAAGTTTTAATAATGACTTGCAAGGATCCTTTGATTAATATTTGAGCAAATCAAGTGGAACAAACCTCCTTAAATAATAAATACCCTTTACAAATGTAGCTAATTAAATTCCCTTAGATCTGTGCTGTCCAATACCATAGCCACTAGAAACGTGCATTTACAGTGTGGTAGTCTGAACTGAGATGCGTAAAGTGTAAGATATACAACAGATTTTGAAGATGAGTTGAGAAAAGAACGTAACATATCTCGTTACTAAATTTTATGTGAATTACATGTTGAAATGATCATATTTTGGATATGTTGGGTTAAAAACATTTTATTACTATAATTGAGTTTACTTATTCCTTTTTGCTTTTTAAAAATGGGGCTTTTCAGGTATGGCCAACTTGGGTTCCAAATTCTAGCTGTGCATGATGCTGGTTTTGTTTCTGTGCCTGCGTGCTAGAAATTAAAACACCCAGCTCACCAAAGTGTAAAAGTTAATTTAGTTAATATACCTAAAAATACCCACACAAAATGCGGTGCTCAGAGAATTAGCTTATAAATGTTATAGAGCAAGGCCAGAGATAATCCCTCACACCTGTAGTCCTAGCTACTTGGGAGGCTGAGGCAGGAGGATCACCCAGGAGTTGAGTCCAGCCTAGACAACATAGTGAGACTCCAGCTCTTAAAAAAAAATGGGGCTCTTGGAAAATATAAGATTACATATGTAGGCCGGGTGTGGTGGCTCACGCCTGTAATCCTAGCACTCTGGAAGACCGAGGCGGGCAGATCGTTTGAGCTCAGGAGTTCTGAGACCAGCCTGAGCAAGAGCGAGACCCCCCTCTACTAAAAAAATAGAAAGAAATTAGCTGGACAATGAAATACATACATACATACATACATATATATATATATCTAAATTAGCCGGGCATGGTGGCGCATGCCTTAGTCCCAGCTACTCGGGAGGCTGAGGCAGGAAGATTGCTTGAGCCCAGGAGTTTGAGGTTGCTGTGAGCTAGGCTGCCACAATACTCTAGCCCGGCAACAGGGCGAGACTCTGTCTCAAAAAAAAAAAAAAACAACAACAACCAAAATTACACATGTAGCTTGCATTGTATTTATATTGGATGGCACTGCCTTTGATATTCTAAGTAGCACTTATGAATATAATGAATTCCATTTATTATGGAATAAGAAACAACATGTTCCCAAGGATTTCAGAAAATGCTTTCAAATCTCAAAAAACTAGCATAAGCAAAATGAGTATGGAGTCCTCTTAAATATTCTAATAATGTTTACATTGTCAAAGTCTCTTAAAGTTTTTAACTTAAAATTTGAACTAAAGTTAATTACTCAATCACATTCATGAGTAACTCAATGGTTCAATGTTCTTAAAACATCACAAATACAGGATTTTCTGCACCAACACACAGAATTCGACCTAACTTACACTTAACACAAATGTATAAATACTATGGGTGTTGGCTTATTTTTACCATCTGTTTTCTAAATTCTAATCTTCCTGAGTTAAAAGCAGCTTACTAAGGAGAAAATGATTGTGCCATCAAAGGTAACTTGGGTTATACCACGCAGGCTGAAATTTCCATCTCAGTGGACTGAATTAAGGCTTTTTTGTTGTTTCACCAAAATATGAGACACGGTTCTCCTGTGCCACTGATGGACGTCCCCCCTTTCTGATGACCTGTGCCCTCCAGCTGGGCTGGTCCCTTGACCCATGACCTCTGGATCCAAGTTATACAAACCTGATACCTACAT